TGTCAGATATGCGCACCTACTGTCAAGACAGGAGGAACGCTGGCCGAAAGCTGCTACATAGTACGAGCAATAAGCTCGAACAGTATGTTGCTGCAAATTGCTGCATGTTGCAGCATTTTGCAACAAATTGCAGCATGTGGCAAGCTGGTCGCGTATAGGGCTAGTGCGCGAGGGACTTGGACTGGAAAAACAAAAGCCAAGCAACACGAGAAGAGGAGACAAAAAAAAAAAGAAACATTAATTAATTAATACAATTAATCATTATCCTATACATTATATCCAAAACCCATCATTCATCTTAGGAAGCGTAGAAACAGTGCTTCAATCTGACAAGCCTATAACAACCCGCTCTAGCACTATAGAGTAGAGTACAGCTTAGAATATTATTTAGATACTACTTCTACTTCTTGCTTACACGTTTGCGCGTTATGCCTAGTCTAATTGCACTGTCTGCAGCGCCTTTAGGATTGCTTACCTACTTTAGCTTACACTTGCTTCTGTCAGATTGAAGCACTGTTTCTAGGCTTCCTAAGATGAATAATGGGTTTGGATATGATGTATGGGATGATGATTGATTGTATTGATTTATTGATTCTTTTTCTGCTCTACTTGTGTTGCTTGGCTTTTTGTTTTGCCGATCTGAGTCCCTCGCGCACTTGCCCTATGCGCGACCAGCTTGCAACATGCTGCAGTTTGCTGCAAAATGCTGCAAAATGCTGTAACATGCTGTAACATGCTGCAATTTGCTGCAACATGCAGCAATTTGCAGCAACATACTGTTCGAGCTTATTGCTCGTACTATGTAGCAGCTTTTGTCAAGCGTTCCTCCTGTCTTGACAGTAGATACGCATATCTGACAGCTTCTTTACCTTCTTACTGTCACTACGCGCCCTAACCTCCTTTAGAGCTGTTAAGCGCAGGCCTTTCTAAATGTAGCTGCCTTATTAGCTACCTAAAGCTTAGTAATTTCCTATTACGTTAAACTAGCTTATGCATAATTATTGCTGCCCTTTTTAAGGCTTTTTTTCTAGAGACATTACCCCTCTATAACCCTCTCTATACGTAGAGCTACTTGTAACACAACTAATGTCACGGTCGGCATGCTCAAGCTACAAGCAAGAGGTGGTGTAACTCAACTAGATTAAACTAAGGAGCAGAGGAGCTGCTCTGCGAGTTTAAATATACATGTGTGCCCCCTGCCAAGGCGCTACTCGTAGCACTAGCGTGCTACTCGTTGCGCAAGCGAGGGAGCTGATGCCGCAGAGCATGTGAGGCGGTACACGCCGTCACAACTAATATCTACTAGAGATTGCTACCTGCTGCTGTAATCTACTGTAGTTTGCTGTAATTTACTATAGTTTGCTGTAGTTTGCTGTAGTTTGCTGTAGCTTGCCGTAGTTTGCTGTAATTTGCTGTAGTTTGCTGCAATTTGCTGCAGTTTGCTGCAATTTGCTATAGTTTGCTACAATTTGCTGTAATTTACTTTATGCATTTCTTAACACTAGCAGGTAATCTCTTACTAACACCTCTAGGCATTAGCCTATTATATTTAAACAGTAGTTAAAAAAGCTAAACTAGCAGTTATGCAAGCAAAACAACTTGTTAAGGTATTACATGTACTACATTAATCTTTGCGGCAATAGAGAGGCAGAGGCAGAGGCAGAGGCAGCGCTAGAGCTCCCTAGCACTCTAAGAAATTCCTGCAGAGGCAACAAACTACACAAGCTACAGCTCTACAACTAGAGCTTTAATGCTAAAACAATTAAATTAAAGATATTAGGTAGCAGTATTAGGCATAGCGTAGCAGTATTAGGCGGTAAAAGGAACAGGCGCAATGTGTAACAAGGTAGGCACAGTTAACCACGTAGCCTTCTCTTGCTTATAAAGGTTTAGGCTAGACTTAAGACAACTGCTAGTGCTAGTGCTAGCCCTAGCATTATCTATATATATATTATACTATGCGAGAATACTTAGCTTAAGTATTCTTGTGCGTACCTTTTAGTACAGTAGGGAAAGTTGCATAGTATTAGCTTAGCAGGCAGGGCGTCTACCTTATTACACAACGCTAGAGACTGCAAGGTGCAAAGGGGAGGATGTAAGAGGTATTAAGCAGGAAACACAGGCTACAGAGAGGGAATGCAGGATAGGGGGTAACAAGAGAGAGTAAACCTTAGGGTTAGAGGCAGAGGTACAGAGGCTAAGGAGCCTATATACCCTGTGCAAATCCCTTAGGGTACTTAGGGGTTAGATAGCTATAACATAACTGTAACAAAGGAAGACTATTGTAAAGGCAGGAACGCGTTAAGAGCTAGAGCTAGCTATTATTTACTTTTTTTTTTTAGCTATATTAAGTAGTGTGTTAGAGATTAGCATTAGCTATATTAGTGTGTTAGTAATTAGTTACATGCTATAGTTAAATGTTGTTATTATACATCTATTACCTGTCTAATACTATTTTGCTAAGCATTATACTATAACTATTCTTTAACCTAGACAACCTACTTTAATGCGCTAACTATTACTGTTGTGTAAGAAGAGCACAGGGACCTAGCGTCGCGCACATAGGCCTGGTGTTGCGCCTGTGTTTTAGACAAGCAGCCTAAGACAATTAGCGCCTAAGCTCTCTATAAGCCTCTTATAGTTAATAGACTTGCGTCTTATTGCTCTCTAATTAGCAGTTGCGATAATTACTCTAAGCAAGCTTTGCTTTTACAGATTATTTATAAACTGTTTTAGTATTTTAGAGTTTATAGCTATTTAAAAATTTATTAGAGTAAGTTAATTATTAAATTTAGTTACTTTTTAATATAAAGTTTTTACTTTTTTATAAAAACTAAGTAGCTTATTAATCTTATTACTAATCTATTAAAGTTTCTTAATGTTATCCTAGATACTATTAATTTGTTTTGCTAAGACTTTTTTATTAGCTATTAGAACTTCTATTAATTCTAATAAGGCTATATAAGCTATGTTAGAATTAGAGTTATGTTAAGTAGTTATACTTTTTAAAAGGGTTTAGTGTTTAATGTTACAATCCTTGCTTTAGAAAGCACTTAGGTTAATGTTGTTCCTAAGGATAAAACAGAGGCTAGGGGCTGATAGTAGAGTGTATAGTCCTACGTAACACCTAATAGGCTAATAGAGTAGAGTAGAGTGACTAGATTATAGTTTGTCTCTATAGCAGCAGTATAGTAGTTAGGTTAAACATTCCTGTTAGACAGAATTAGAGGTATATATGTTGCAGATATACAAATAGTATTGCAGCTCTTTAAAAAGCGAGAACGCTACTTAGTCTATGTAAAAAATAAACTAAACATTAAACACACCTTCTAAAGGTTGTTTAAAGTTAGAACTATATACATGTCTAATAGTGCTAAAAACAAGTTGTTTAAGTTTAGATAAGCTTACTATACAGCAAACTTGTCTAACTTACTTATGTAACAGCACAGGCAAGACAATGGGTCCGAATGCGGAGGGAATCCACTCAGAGGCATATGGGAGTGCGTGGGGACTCTGAACCTGGGAATGCCATTAACACCTATAGGCCTTGTACAAAAGAATATCAGAAAACTACTAAGCTAGCTACAGGGGCAAGGTGCGACTAAATACATGAGGGAATAGGGGTAACTGCGGGGGACTGGGTCAAGTCATGGTCGGGGCCGATACGGGGACCCTTCGGATAGGATCCGAGCGATCCGAGATGGAACGATTCGTAGAATCGTTATAACTTAGACTTGTTCTGTTCCCTTAGCCTTCCTTCCTACTAGACAATGCATTCTTCTGTAAGCCTAGGCAGCTGCGCTGCCTCCACGTCTTCCGGTTGGTCTGTAAACAAGCTCTGCCCCAACCTGGCTAGATTGTGGAGTACTTCGGGTGGAGTTACGTCGGTCCAACCATAGACTGTAACAAGTCTCTAGCGTTGCGCCTGTTTCTTTTACCGCCTAATACCGCCACGCCACGCCTAATACTGCTACCTAATATCTTTAATTTAATTGTTTTAGCATTAAAGCTCTAGTTGTAGAGCTGCAGCTTGTATAGTTTATTGCCTCTGCAGGAATTTCTTACAGTGCTAGGGAGCTCTAGCGCTGCCTCTGCCTCTGCCTCTGCCTCTGCCTCTACCTCTTTGTTGTTGCAAAGATTAATAGAGTGCATGTAGTACCTTAACAAGCTGTTTTGCTTGCACAATTGCTAGTTTTGTTTCTTTAACTGCTATTTAAATATAATAGGCTAATGTCTAAAGGTGTTAGTAAGAGATTACCTAGTAGCGTTAAGGTTTACATAAAGTAAATTGCAGCAAATTGCAGCAAACTACAGTAGATTATAGTAGCAGGCAGCAATCTCTAGTAGATATTAGTTGTGTTGCAAGTAGCTCTACGTATAGAGAGGGTTCTAGGGGTGTAATGCCTTTAGAAAAAAAAAGCCTTAAAAAGGGTAGCAATAATTACGCATAACCTAGTGTTAGCGTAATAGGAGATTACTAAGCTTTAAGCAGCTAGCAAGGCAGCTACATTTAGAAAGGCTTGCGCTTAACAGCCCTAAAGGAGTTTAGGGCGCGCAGTAACAGGAAGAAGGCAAAGAAGCAGGTGCAAGCTAAAGTAGATGAGCAATCCTAAAGGCGCTGCGGACAGTGCAATTAGACTAGGCATAACGCGCAAACGTGTAAGTAAGAAGTAGAAGTAGTATCTAAATAATATTCTAGGCTGTACTGTACTATATAGTGCTAGATCGGGTTGTTATAGGCCATAATAGAGTTTCTTGTGGTGTGGTCTTGGCAAAAGTGGGCAACTCAGGCGTGTGAGCAACTGCCAATCCCCGACACACCGATGCGTGCTCGTTTGATAGGCAACTCTTTTCCAACCTTTTTTCGCCATCTGGCTTTTAGGCGCTTGCCCTGCTATCAAGACTTTCTAGCAACGCTGCATCTTTCTACCACCGCGCGGCCTTCCGAGGTTTTGCACGTCGTCCGGTGTCGGCGCACCTAGATCTTGCGCTGACAAAGGCTAAGAATTCTCTGTCTTGCAAGAGCTAGCAGTCACCCCATCTTTGCTCCTTTGGGTTGTGGCATGCTCCCTATGTGACTCGTGCGTGCATGATCCGCTATCGCAAATCACATCATTTCCACCATGGGCCTCGCTAAGAGCAATCGACTGAAAGACCGATGGGCTGGGGAAGAAAGGGCTCACAGGGCGCATTTCCTCCAGCAGCGCATCGTACTTTGCACGTTCTGCCTCTATTAATCGAACCGTTGATGGCTGCCATTCTTTGCTGTGACACTCTAACGCTTCAGCGCATTGCTTTGCAGCCCACTTAGCGATTACTAGCTCCATTATCTTGCACAAGTCGTCTGCTGCACTTTTCTCTCTCAGCGCCGGGTTTTGCGCTACCTCTGGGATACAGGAGATTGATTTGCAAACAGCCTGAGCAATTGCGGATGCAGGTTTTGAGCTTATCTCCCTAGGATCCTTAGTGTTGAACTGCACCAGGCATTCGTGCTGTAGATGCGGGCCGGCCAACTCAACAACAAGAATCAACATGTCTCTCCATGCCTGATGCTCGAACCGTTTAGCATAAGCATCCCTGGTATTGTCTGGGTACTCGTGTAGGTAATGCTCCATTGCTGGGCTGGTGAAATCGCTCATTTTGTCTCTGACGTACCCCAAAAGACGCTCCTGGAGTTTTATAGACTGCTTCTCCGCATCATCGCCGCACTTCTCCCGCAAAGCTGGCAGGAGATCCTTGCGTAGGAGAGGCTTGTTGTTGTCACGCTCGCCGACTCTTGCAGGATCACGGTTCAGCCATTGGCCAACATGGGACATTACAATGCTCATTACCTTCCCCTCCTGCTTCGTGGTCTTAAGGAGAGAGTGGACGTCCGCAAAGCCCAGGTCTGGCGTTGAAAGCACAAATCGATACAGCCTATCGTATACGTCGTCGCCAGCTGTCAAGAAAAAGTTTCGCTGCCGGCAGAGGGTAACATCTTTTTGTTTGTTTTGGTTTTCCAGGTTAGGGTAGAACAGTTGTTGAACATCTGCAGGCTTTCGTATTTGCGGGAGACTCGCCAACTTAATCCAGTCACTGGACTGGACGTCAATGCTGAATTCACTGCGTATTCGAGATATTGAATCGATTACTGAGTGGAACGTGGTGAACCAGAACTGTTGTACTCTTAGTGTTAGTGCGATTCTAATTGCTCTCAGTAATATCCACTTACATCGTCTATCCTGCAGCTCGCCATCCATTCAAATGTAGAAATGTTAAATGTTGCCTGACCAAGCGAGAATTCGCACCATCTTGTAATCATTCGCTTCCAATTCTGATTCCTCCATAGAGTGCACAGTCGCCTCACCGGAAATTTGACTGGACCACTTAGCCGAAGGTGTTCTAGCATTTCCCGCTCTACGTCTGTCTTTGGGCCTTGGAAGAGTGTGTTATCTGAAGACGACAAGGTCGCCAACTCCGTCCATATCTGGCCATGGTTGTCAGGCAGAATCAAATCTTCTCGGTTGGCCCGAAGCTTGATGCGCAGATGCAGTGGCAGTGCGTCTTGTTTAGTATTAGCTCGCATCAGTTAACTTGTCTCAGGGGGGGGGGTTTTAACCTTTGTCGTAAATATCGCAAATCCACCACCGCTCTTCATTGCCACACCCTAAAAGCCGCAGGCGCTTCTTCAGAGCCTCTACTCTATGATTACCCGCCATAAGTTCGGCCTTCTCTCCCACTACCATATCCCACTCTTCAAATGAAGGCCACTCGAACTCCTCTCCCCGCATATCCTCTCTTGCAGCGGCAACATGTCCATCCTGCGCCTGCTTCCAGCTGAGATGATCTAGCATCTTCTTCACCTGCTCTTTGGTGCACGCTATTCTAAGTCGATGACCTGGATCCCTTCGAAGAAGGCCTTGTTCACTGAATATCTCACAAAGCCGCTGCTTGTGCGCCTCATTGATGGATCGGTTTCCGCCGACAGTCCATTCTGGGGTGAGCGCATCGATCGGGAATTTCGCTGTAGCCAGTTGATACGGTTTTGCTTGCTCAGAAACTGACTCTATCTCCTTAAGGGCTAAAGCTTTAGAGTTAGGCTCTTGACAACGCTGCTTCTTCCTTCCCTCGCTAGGGATTGATGGGTTTTGGCGTTTCATTGTACAATGGGTCTGGCGTTGAATGCGAACAAGATAACAGGAAGAAGGAAGGCAGACAGGAATTTGGTTTTATAAAGTGTAAGTCTGAGGACAGGGAGGAAGCGCGGGCGGTAATTAGCTTTAGCGAAGCCACTTTAGTTATTACTCCCAGGGGCAGGGATGCGGGGCGGGAACCACAGGGGCAAGCCTCTCGCATGAGCTGAGAAGTGGTGAAAGGGTAAGCGAGTCAACAAGGTATTAAGATCCAAACAAGGTGAATCGTACCAATGGATTGTAAGGTCTAAAGAGCGAGAGAGAGCTCTGGGCTAACTATATACTGTACGAGAAAGGAGCTAGTCCTAATGAGTGAATAGCGCAGTACATGGGTATAGTATCGCGTGAGACACGTGCGACAAAGCCTCTGGGACAGTCGCCAGACGCAAGGACAAAAGGGGGGGGAAAGCTCTTGCCCAGGGGCAAGCCTTCAGGGAAGAGGGCAGAGGCATAGATGCGGGGAAAGCCTTTAAGGCAGAAGCCAGAGGCATGGATTCAAGGCGGGAAGTTCTTCCCTAGGGGAATCCTTGAGGGCAGAAGTCGTGACAGCAATATGAATTCTTGCCCCTGGGGGCAACCTAACCCTATGGCAGTAGTACTGTTTACCGTGTGACCATCTGTTTGCAATGATGACACTCTGATGCATCGTCAGCATAGTCACACGATAGTCGGATGTGTCGGATGTGTCGTCACACGATGGTCGGATGCATCGGCAGATGCATCAGCACCATAGTCTGTTGCCAAGACCCACCCACTTATTTCGCATATTTATAGACTCCTGCAAAGGACTCCTTGAGCAATGCATTCAATGCAGTTCCTCATGTCTCTGGTGCCTCACATAGCTTCACACCATCAATCACCGTAGTATAATAATACTAATAATAATAGGGTCCAGCCACGGGCTGGGTGACGGATTCCATCCGTTCTCTGCTCGCTTAGGCGGGGCGCTAAACGGAATGCCAAAGTTAGGGTTACAGAACCTTGGGGATCTGTCGCCATATATCAGTTGCTAGATACGTAACAACTAAGTCTATGTTCGACTAGAATAAGCATGACGCAATGTTCTTCGCCGAGAGCTTGGAGGGTCGGCGGGTCGGCGCTTGGCACAGCCCAACCACCGGACCAGCACAACAACATCAACTCGAGGTCGAACTATCCTGTCCGTCTCCACTTCTCCCCACTCTCAATGCATCCCATCTCAGTCGCTGCCTGGATCCGCGAACTCGAAGCTCCCACTCCCACCCGCACTCGACCATATCCTTCTCCCTCGCGCACTTGCAAGCGACGGCAGCCCGACAATTGGGAGGCCCCGCGCCCGCGAAAGCAGGCACGCCGTGTTGTGCTGGGCGAGATGGCGGCGAACGACCAGAACATTTTCATGCCTTCCTCCAAGAGCAAATCGTCACGCCCAAAAAAAAGTATTGACAAGAAGCGCATGCGCACGCCCTCGCCTTCGAAAAATCAGCGCCAATTTCCCGACGACGCGTATTCGTCCGACGATATCGACAATGCGACCCCTCGCCCGGACCGCTTCGCACGCAGCGCATATCCCATTCCTAACCTCTCATACAGAGACGCTATTGCCAACGAGCCCATCGAAGACGGCGACGACCTCCAGGCCTGTTCGCCTACTCGATCGTACACACAGTCGCAATCTTCCAACCGCTCGACCAGCCCCAAGAAGATCACTTCTTTATGGAACGTTGGAAATGGGGTGACATACACACACTTGGCGAACACGACCGCTTCGAAACGTAAGCAGCTCGGTGGAAACGGGTTTGCTCTCTTGGAGAAGCTGGAGGATGTGGGCGATGGGGCTGTAGTGCCTGCAAAACTCAAACAACGGCTGGCGGAGGCGGATATGGGCAAGGTAAAGCAGCACCATTTCGATACATCGGATGAAAGGCCCGTGGACGAGCTGCTGTGGGAGCTGCGGACCATACAGGACATCATTTCGCTGTCGCACCGGTGTTCTGTTAACGGGACCATGGGACTGAGTGGAACAATCGCGTGCACACCAAGGTGCTGGAGCTGGCGTTGGGAAACAATGAGACGAGTGTTGGGTTCCGAAGCGTGTGAGTACTCTTTGGCCCGTCCATGACTTGGGACACTCAAAAGAGCTTTGCTGACCAGAGTGACACCATGCAGAACTGCAGCTAGAATTACACCGGAATATCGCCCCACGCATTCGAACAACCTCACAACTGGCAAGATTGTTGACTACGCCATTCACCTTGAGCCCTCTAGTCGTTCACACGACATTATATCATCCCTTATTGGCATGTCGACCGATTCCATTAACCATGTTGGCTACGAGGGTCTGCGCTCTCGACCTATCGCTGTATCGATCGAGACCAAGACGGAGAGTCGGACTGTGGAGGAGGCGAAGGTACAACTGGGTGTGTGGATGGCGGCGCAGGTGTCACGGATCGAGACACTCGTAGGGCAGCCTACTCCGCTTGGGGTGAAGAAGCCGGCAGCAGAGGCACGGCCTTACCGATTTGAATCGGAGATGGTCACACGAGGTCGACGGAAAAGCCGGGGGAGAGGTGGGAGAATATCGCGAGCCCAGCAGCCACAGACGCAGGAACCAACCCCGACTCCCGCCGTCGTGATGGTCCCGGATCCCTCTGATATCCTCTCACAGACTGAATTTCCACTCGTCGACATCCAATCCGAGGCGTGGTCGCTCTTCTTCGCTCGGGTCATGCCCTCAAACGCTCCCCCGCCATCGAATTCGGATATTCGCAAACCACTGTCGAATATTCAAATCTTCCATTCGGTTCCCTTAGGAAACACGGCGAATACAGTGCAGACATATCGGCTGGTCAAGAGCTTAAAGGTGCTGAGGGATTGGGTCGATGGGGACTTCCGCAAGTGGTGGGATGGGCTTCTAGGGGTTCGCGACGCTGAAGCGGGCGGTGGGTGAGATGGCATCAGTAGCACTTTGTATTGAGACTTGTTGTGAAATACAATAGCGTTTCGCATTGCCCTTTTCTATATATTTACATACCCTGGATGGTGATTTGAGACTGTGTGTCGCTCGTGCAATGGACATCCGTCGCGCCACGAACAGGCCGATTCTTCTGATTCCCCAGTTCGATCCTTGAAGGGTGAGCTGTCTGGCTGCAAGCTATCAGTTGCACTTAACTCTGCGATGTAATCTCTTAGATTATCTTTGTATAGCGAATAGGAGGACACGCTTTAGCTTATTAACATAGAGAAGATAGCGTAAGAAGAGCTTTGTACTTTTAGCTTTTACAGCCAGCCGCCAAAAGTCTGGTTCGCCAAGCCACCAACACGAGTCCACGCCTTCTACCCAGCATCATTGCATTGCAATTGTATGTTAACCACATAGTAATTTAATGCGATTTTAAGATTTCTAGCGTTGCAATATACTTAGTATTTAGTCTAGTACCCACGCGCGGGCTGTACAGCCTATAGGTGTTGAGGCATACTGTAAATAAGCTTTTTAATAACGTACCTAACAGGTTAGCCGGCCACACAGGTTAGCTGGCCACTTTTGCTAAGCCCCTACTAAACTCTACCTATCTACATAATGCCTTAACAATAACACTAGATTAAATTTTCTAAAGAACGTTAGATACAGCTTACTTTTTAAGCTTCTAAATAAGACTTAAAACTCTTCTTATAACATACTATAGCTCTCTATAATGTTTTTTACATAACACTAAGTAATTAACACGCTAGACAGCCTTTATAAGTAGAATATTAGCCTAAATTAAGAAATCTAACTAAGCTTAAAAAAAAGTAGTTATTAATTATATACTTAAGCTTATTACACGCAGATTTCCTTTTAGGCTTACAGCTATAGCTAATGTAAGGACGGAGCTCTGTACCACTACGCCAATACAACCAAAAAGGTGCGAATAATCAACCAACAGTTAATTATTGCGTACAGAATAGTATATATACTCGTCGCACGTAAGCACCATCTCGGCCTTACATTATCCCCCTTCTTAGCAGACGCATGTCCCAGGCGTCACATGACCTACCCGCAGCTCAGAGGCGCCTATGCACATGTCTCGGTTACCGGCCAGAGGCTGACCACCTACAGCCCAGAGGCGCGGGATAAATAACGACGCTTAGTGGCCCACGCCAGCTAAGCCATATACACTAGACCTTCCAGCAGCTACAACGTGGCGCCAGAAGAGGCCGCCTCACGTTTCAGTCTAAAAACTGGCTAAGCTGTCCAAGGTGTGGGTCGAACGCGCGACCGTCCTCGTCGTTGGTTGATTATTATATAAGGACAGAGCTCTGTACCACTACGCCAATACAACCAAAAAGGTGCGAATAATCAACCAACAGTTAATTATTGCGTACAGAATAGTATATATACCCGTCGCACGTAAGCACCATCTCGGCCTTACAGCTAATATAGCTAGTCTCTTGCGCGTAAAGCGTAATCTAGGCTAGGTTAGCTTAAACTAGCCTAGTATGTAGGTTAAGCACTGCTTTAAGTTTATAATTAAGTTTAATTATAAGTATAGTTATAAAAAAGCGCTTTATAAGAATCTAAAGGTTATTTAAAGCTAGTTTACCTAGTAGTGTAACGATTCTCGTTCCATCTCGGGTCGCCCGGAACCCATCCGAAGGGTCCCCGTATCGGCTCCGACCCTGGCTCGACCCTGACTCGACCTGGCCCCGACTCTGCCCTGCCCCCTGCTGTTACCCCTATTCCCTCATGTATTTAGTCGCACCTCCCCCCCCCGTAGCTAGCTCGGTAGTTTTCTGATATCCTTTCGTACAAGGCCTATAGGTGTCAATGGCATTCCCAGGTTCAGAGTCCCCACGCACTCCCATATGCCTCTGAGTGGATTCATACCGCATTCGGACCCATTGTCTTGCCTGCGCCGTTACAAGTAGCTAACATAAAAGCTAAGTATAGTATTTAAAATAAAAATACATATAACTTTAATAAGTTAAGCTTTATAATAGGCTAAATATTAACTAGAGTAGTTATTATAGCTTTAAAAAGATAAAAATAGCTAAAGGTAATATACTAAGGTAATAAAAAGTAGATAATAGGGATCTAAAGCATTAATATAATAAAGTAAGCTATTTTACTTTTTATTATTTTTAAAAGCTGCTAACGTACCTAACAGGTTAGCTAGCCACTTTTGCTAAGCCTCTACTAAAACCACCCTATTCTAGCGCAAAACAGCCTACTTTAGCCCTATATAGAGTAATATAATATAAGATATTATTTAAAGTCTACTTCTGCTACTTTTTTACATATATATAAGTTATGCCTAGTCTAATTACACTGCTTATATTACTTTTAACTTAGCTTACTTTTTTAGCGTGCACTTATGTCTTTAGCTTCTTTCTATTACTACGCGCTTTAAACTCCTTTAGAGTAGTTAAACAAGCTCTATTTTTAACTATTAAAGTTTTTGTTGCCTAAATTTACTTTTTTTTTGTAATTTATATTGCGTAGTAGCCTTATTTACTACTTAAAGCTTTATAATCTTCTTTTATACTAACACTAGCTTATGTGTAATAATTGCTGCCCTCTTTAAAACCGTTTTAAAGGCCTTTATTATAGATGTTAGTAAGCTATTTATATGCCTTTAAATTCTTACCTTTATAAGTATTAATTATAACTTAAATTTAAGAGTATTACTTAAAGTTTATAACTACTAGAGCGTGTTATTAATAGGCAGTAGTAGTAATAAAGTACATAACTAAATGTTAAGGGCTATTTTAACTTATTTTAGGTTAAATAAGACTAAACTAGTGGTTTAAAACCTTTTTTAAATATTACTAAAAGTAATTACTGCATTATAGAAGCGTATAAAGCATAGTAAAAACTTAAGTTTTATAATATAGGTAATTTAGTTGCGCATAAAATTTTTAGCTTAGCACTTATATGCCTTCTTTAAAGAGGCAAAACAACTTACATTAAGAGGCTATAAGAGGTGTAATAAGTGTAAAAGTATATAAATAGTAATAATCTTTTTTTTTATAGTAGTACTAGAAATTAAGTAAGTTATAGCTTTTATAGCTAGTAATAATAAAAAGCTAATAAGTGCTTATAACTTTTTTTTATATGCTTATTAAAGTGCTTTAACTACTGCAGCTTAAGCTTATTTATTGTCTAGCGGTTTTTAGAGACTATAATAACCTAGTTCTAAAGTAGATTTTTTTTATACTAGGCAAAAAAGTAATAGCAGCCCTTAAAGATAATAAAGAGCAGAATAGCCTACTTTATTATGTTAATACTTTAAATAACTATTATCTACTTTTTATTACTTTACTATATTACCTTTAGCTATCTTTATCTCTTTAAAGCTATAATAACTGCTTTAGTTAATATCTAGCCTATTATAAAGCCTACCTTATTAAAGTTATACATGTCTTTATTCTAGATACTATACTTAGCTTTTATATTAGCTACTAGGTAAAACTAGCCCTAGATAATCTTTAGATCTTTATAAAGCGCTTTTTTATAATTATACTTATAATTAAACTTTATTATAAACTTAAAGTAGTGCTTAACTTACATACTAGGCTAGTTTAAGCTAACCTAGCCTAGATTACGCTCTACACGCAAGGAATTAGCTATATTAGCTATAGCTAAAAGCCTAGAGAGAAATCTGTGTGTAATAAGCTTAAGTATATACTTAATAACTGCCTTTTTTTTAAGCTTAGTTAAATTTCTTAATTTAGGCTAGCATTCTGCTTATAAAGGCTGTCTAGCGTGTTAATTACTTAGTGTTATATAAAAAAACATTATAAATAGCTATAGTGTGTTATAAAAAAAGTTTTAAGTCTTATTTAAAAGCCTAAAAAGTAAGCTATATTTAACATTCTTTAGAAAATTTAATCTAGTGTTGTTGTTAAGACATTATGTAGATAGGTAGAGTATAGTAGAGGCTTAGCAAAAGTAGCTAGCTAACCTGTGTAGCTAGCTAACCTGTTAGGTATGTTATTACTTCTTTGCCTAGTATAAAAAAAATTGCTTTAGAACTAGGTTATTATAGTTTGTAAGAATAGCTAGACAATAAATAAGCTTAAGCTGCAGTAGTTAAAGTACTTTAATAAGTATATAAAAAAAATAGTTATAAGCGCTTATTAGCTTTTTATTATTAACAGCTATAAAAGCTATAACTTACTTAATTTCTAGTAGTACTATAAAAAGAATAAAATTATTACTATTTATATGCCTTTATACTTATTACACCTTTTATAGCCTTTTAATCTAGGTTGTTTTGCTCTTTTAAAGAAAGTATCTAAGCGCTAAGCTAAAGATCTTATATATAACTAAATTACTTATATTATAAAACTTAAGTTTCTACTATGCTTTATACACACTTATAATGCAGTAATTACTTTTAGTAATATTTAAGAAAGGTTTTAAAGCACTAGTTTAGTCTTATTTAACCTAAAATAAGTTAAAATAGCTTTTAACATCTAGTTATGTACTTTATTACTACTACTACTTATTAATAATAACCTCTAGCAGTTGTAAACTATAAGTAATACTCTTAAATTTAAGTTATAATTAATGCTTATAAAAGTAAGAATTTAAAAGCATATAAATAGCTTACTAATGTCTATAGTAAAGGCCTTTAAAAAAGCTTTAAAGAGGGTAGCAATTATTACGCATAAGCTAGTATTAGTGTAAAAAGAGATTATAAAGCTTTAAGTAGTAAATAAGGCTGCTACATAACATAGATTACATAAAAGAAAGTAGATTTAAGTAGAAAAACCTTAATAATTAAAGATAAGGCTTATTTAGCTACTTTAAAAAAGTTTAAAGCGTGTAGTAATAGAAAAAAGCTAAAGACATAAGTGTGCACTAAAGAAGGTAAGCTAAGTTAAAAGTAATGTAAGTAGTATAATTAGACTAGGTATAACTTACATATATATAAGTAAGTAGTAAAAGTAGACTCTAAATAATAT